ATATTTCTTAAATACCGCAATGGTAACTCAAAGCTTATTTATTATACCAGCTAAGCTTCATTTTATAAATTATTATTGTGTTTAAATAAAATAAATGATTAATTAATATAAATGTATCTTAGATCGAGTAAGTTGTTACGGTTTTATTTAATTTAATAGCTTCCGCCCGCGACTTCGTCCGCGCATTAATAACATCAGGCAGAATTTATATTTTTTGACTCGTCTCCTTTTCCAAGACCTATTTCGATGTATGATATTAAACAAATCAAGTCAGTACTTTAGTTTTCCTTTATTGTGAGATTATAAAAGATAACGTGGTTCAAAAAATATAAAATTATAGTTCTAAATTTTACGCACATAGGCCTTGTTTCCATAGGATTTTCACTATAAAAAGTTGTAATATATATATATTTTTAAAGTTATATTATATTTTAAATTTGCGTCGAGATTTATCTGATACGCCGTATAGTCGAACAATTCCCGTTCCTACAGATTATCGGAATAAAAACTATTGTATATCTTTTCTCGAGACTCAAATAATCAATGTATGTACATAATTTCAGTCAAATAGGTTTAGTATTTTAAAAGAAATTGCATCCCGGGATTTTAAAAAGTAGTTCCCGTTATCGTAACGTTTCTAGAATGAAATCTGTCTCAGTTCTTTTCGAGGTCTTAAACTATCATTGTGAGGAATTTTAATCAAATAGGTTTAATAATTTAAAGGGATAATGTCCCTGGATTTTACCGCATAGTTCTCGGTTCCGTGAAGTTTCCAGGATAAACCTTGTCCAGGTCCTTTCTCGGGTCTCAGTCTTTGTTGTACATAATTTCAGTCGAATAGATTTAATAGTTTGATAGAAATGGTATCCCGGGATTTTAACGCCAAAATTCTCATTCCTGTGGTGTTTCCGAGATTAACCTGTCTCAGTTAGTTATCGAGTCATCAACTATTGTACGAAATTCTAATCAAATGGACTCAGTATCTTAAGTAAGCAGAGAGTATAAAATAAATAATGTCCCGGGATTGCAACTCGTAGTTCCCCGTTCTCGTGGCGTTTCCAGAACAAAACCTGTCTAGGTCCTTTTTCGGATTTCAAACGATCATTGTGCGGAATATCAGTTAAATGGACTCAGTAACTTAAAATTTCTCGTAGTTGTCGTAGCGTTTCTAAGATAAAGTCCTTTCTCTCTAAGATAAAGGGTTTTAAACTATCATAGTGCAGATTTTCAGTCAAATAGGTTTAGTAGTTTGAAAGAAATTAAAAAGGTTTTGAAATCGTAGTTCGCGTTCCCGTGGTATTTTCAGGATAAATCTTGTCTAAGTTACTTCTCGCGTCTTAAACTACCGGTTTATAGAATTTCAGTTAAATACTGCATTCAATGCTATTAAACAATATTCCTGCGAAACCCATTTATCCCCAAGCGGTCACCGGTGACCGCTCTCCACTAACTCCGTTATAGACTTTATTTCCGATGTTTATTTTATTCTTGTATAAACAAATTTAGGGGATGATCGGACCAAGGAATAAAGTTCTTCCATACAAACTTTGACCCCACTTTTGACCACCTTGGGGGTCGAATTTGGAAAAAATGCTTTTGATTTTTCACCCAAAATATAGATATCGATTACGAAATTATTATAAACTAGTGACCCGCCCCGGCTTCGCACGGGTGCAATACTTTGTAAAAATACCTACGACAAAATGTTCTTATACACTACGTTCACAGCTATTTTGTCATTAGACAATACAAACATGGGCACGCTGCCATTTGAGCGGTAAGTCCCCTCTTTGAGGAATGGCTTGAGAGACGCTACGGCGTCCTCACCTACCGCCTGACGCAGGTCCTCACCGGACATGGAAGTTTCGGGAGGTACCTGTATCTGATGGGGTGGGAGGAAACGTCCGGGTGTCATCACTGCGAGGACCGCCCTGAAGACACGGTGGAACACACAGTGGGGGTGTTCTGTGCCCTTAGGGAAGTGATTGTCGATGACGACCTCTCCCGTTCGGGCCTAGTGCAGGTCATGATGCAGAGCGAGGGGGACTTGGATGCCGTCTCCTCCTTGACTGCGAAGCAGTCATGCTAGTTAAACGAATTCAATTCCCGATTTGTCTTGCCTTCGCCATGACGATTATCAAATCACAGGGCTAAGCATTGACTATTTGTGGCCACAATTTAGAAAATGCATGTTTTTCTCATGGTCAATTGTACATGGGATGTACACGTGTGGATAAACCATTTGCTTTATTTGTTCTTGGGCCTGACAAAAAAACAAAGAATGTCGTTTACCACAAGATGCTTCAATGAACAGAGTTAATTCGAGTGCATCACATGTCATGCTACACAACATACTTTAATGTAATAAAACATTCTAACGCGTGTTTGAAGTACTTAATTTTTATTTGTATTCACGTTTTGTATGTATTGTTCATAATAATAAAATACTTCTATATACCTATGTTCATATTTATATTGTATCATTGTATTAAGTTCATCGAAGCCTAAATTAGTTGAGCTAAAAGGTAACGCGACTAGCAGACTGTTAGGTGATATGAAGTTCGCTGGGTCAGCTAGTTCTTAATATTTAAGATTAAAAATTGTAATCTAACCCATATTTTCTTTTCATTTTCAGACATGTGGAGTTATTTGAAAAGTATCGGTGAATACGTATTGGAACATGGAGGAATAATTCAATTTCGGGCGGGTCCTCACATAGTTTATGGTAAGTAAATATCCCGGTAACGAAACATTCAAAGAGTTATTCCGAGAAACCAACACACGTATTTGGTAATTCAGTCTTTTCTCAGTCATTTGACCAACGACCAGTTTTTTTTCATTCCTTTTTACGCCACATTTGGATTTTCTCCATGTATTATGAGCATGTAAGAGCAGCTTTCTAAGATTATTTGTCATCACTATCAAATGGTGAAGGAAAACATCGTGAATAATTCTTGACTTATAATTTCTAATCATAAGTTTCAAATCGCCAACCGGCAATGAGTAAGCGTGGTGATTAATGCTCAAACCTTCTCCGTGTGAGAAGAAGTTATGCTCAGCAGTGGGCACTTATAGGTTGTTGATGAATGAATGATGATGATTGTGAGCATTTCATAAACACAGACAAATTATCAAAAATTAACAAATACAACTGCACTAGGAGTAGGAGGAGTCGTAAGAGTTGACCCACGAATAATCCATTATATACAAACACATTGGATTTGCATACCAAGCATAATTATTAATTACAAGTAGGTAATGAGTGAGCGTTGGACAAAATTCACAATGATGTGGTTTTATTTAGGTTTATGTATTATACGACGCAATTTTAATTTTTTATTACCTAGTTACTACTAGTAGTACTATCATTATTTTAAAACGTACCAAGTTACCGAATGATGTAAAAATGTATTTGTAAAAGACCTCACACATCTTTATTTTCGACTAAAGGTCAATTAAGTAGAACGTATATGAGTAAACAGTCCTTTGATCAGATAACAATAATTATAATTTATTAGGTTTTCGGCTTACTCACATAATTATTTGGTGAGGAACTCGACTAGTTTCAAGCCATGCTATGCTAGAGGCTCATCTCAGCTCAGACGAGGATCTCAGTCGAGTTCCTCGTCAAATAATTACGTGAGTAAGCCAAAAACATAATAATTTATTTAGTATGTCTCACGAAAGTTATAATCCAAACAATATTATATTTTTCGTCTGTATTGCGGGTTCCAAGTTATTTTGTTTGATTATCTTTCTTCGCGCCTTCAAGTACCACAATGTCATGTGAATTATTTGATTACAATTCATTTTTAGGGAATAAACCGATAAACGAGAAGACGGATCACCTGATGATAAGCAATCAATGCCACCCATGGACACTCCAAAACACCAGAGGTGTTACTAATGCGTTACTGGCCTTTTGGGAATTAGGGACTTGAGGATTGTTCGGGATCAGGTAACCTCACTCACATGACGAAACACAACGCAAGAAAATCATTCCAAACATTTACTTATCATGGGTGATCTGACACGAATGTTACGTATCGGTGTCGACACATGTACCTACACCGTGATCAACGCCGAGTCACGTTGCCCAGATCTGCTGAATCAGGACATTACACCTACTTTGATGCAATGAAGGTTCTACGGAGTATTGCAACATTCAAACTACTGAGTCGTCTCCTCATGTCGCCGCCTCGTGCCCAGCTGCGAATCGCTACATCATCAATCACTGCACTAGATTTCACCTCAATAGGTTTTATCGAAAACCTTCTTACAAAATAATTTTAAGATATAAAAGTAGTGTTGTTCCAACTGCCCAACCATTTGCACCCTCTGTCGGTTGCAGAAACATAATTCGAGAGTAAATATTTTTTTTTTTATTACAGCTGTGAACGACCCAGATGTCGCTGGCATCATAGCAAACACGTGTTTGGACAAACCATATTATTACAAGTTTCTGATCGATGGAATAGGAAATGGATTGATAACGTTAAATGGTACAGATATAAGTTTATTTATATTATTTAGATATCTATTGTTTTGTGCTGGGACGCCTTTTATCCCAGGGGCATGGCAGAAGAGGTGCACAATTTCACATTACGGGACTTACAACTGAATACTAGAAATGTATGCAATTTTAAGTTGGACTTAAATATCGAGCCATCTCTGTCATTACACAAAGAATAGAAGTGACAGAACTATACTTAAGCGCGTCTTAAACATGAGTGGCGTTTGAGTATTTAGACTAATGCCTACTTACTATATACTTTCCTCCAGTTATGTTACGATTCCCGTGTAATAGAGGAATAATAAAGCGTTAACCAAAACAAGTTTACCCGACCCGGGAATCGAACCTGAGACCTTTTGCCCAGCAGTCGCACTTACTACCTTTCAATCAACAAGGCAGAGGTTGTTTAAAATTTCTACAAGTAATAATAATGGATTTGTGATCGTTAAACAATCGTTTAAATTATACCTCTATTATTCAAGGCGATATGTGGAAGATACACCATAAATTATTAAGCCCAGCGTTCAGTCAGCAAGTCCTGAATACGTATTTGAATGAAATGGACGTACAAGGTCAAAATCTAGTCTCGCAATTGGCAACAGTGGCGGAGAAGGGACCAGTTAATATCACTGACTTCTTATTTAAACATGTCCTAAGAACAGTTTCCCGTAAGTTGAAACACATTTGGATAGATTTAATCGAACTCTCTTTTGTAATGCTTTTATACCATTTTGAATTACCAAGCAAACGTTCATACACATCCTATCGAGAATTCAGCTTTACGACTCCATACGTCACATAGTGGCGTTGAGTAGTTATGTCGTGGTCGCCCGGAGTTATAAGACGCCCGCTTCTCATGCATAAAAGTGTAGGTTCGAAACCTACCAACGGCTAGTACCAATGTGACTTTTTCCGAGTTACATATATCTTTTAAGTTTACCTAGACACTGACAAGCAATGAAGGAAAACATCGTGAGGCAACCTGGGCTTATAATTTCTAATTATGAGTTTTAAATCGCCAACCTGTATTGAGCAAGCGTGATGATTAATACTCAAACCTTCTTCGTATGAGAAGAAGCTTTTAGTCAGCAGTGGTCACTTAAGGGCTGGTGATAATGATGATGATGATGATGACATCACATAGTCAACCAGGCAATAACCAAATATTGCATTAACAATCCGACTTCTATTCTTAGGTACGTCACTGCGGCTGGATGCTAAAGATCAGGATATGATTGACAATGACTACGTTGAAGCGGTTGAAGAAATAGGAAACATTATAATTCATCGCGCTTTAAGCCCACTGTTACATCTTTCATTTTTATTCAATAGGACCGCAATGAAGAGAAGGCAAGTGGAACTAAGTAGAGACAACAGGAAGCTGTTAGATCCTGTAAGCATGCACAATAGAATCAATTAATACTCGTTAGATTTGCTCTAAAAGTGACTGGCAAAAAAAAAACAGTTTAGGAAGGAGTACAAGATGCGTTGAATCTTTTACGAAACTGGCAGTAGAAAAGAATATTTAAAAGTATAATGAGATACTTAATATAGGTAATTCTTATTCGGAAGTAAGTCTGAAACCGTACTACAGACCAGCAAATACTGGTCTCATTGGGCTGTAAAGGAGTACCAGTGTATTAAAACAACCGTTTTTTTCTACATGCATATGGATATGCATACCAAAATGTAATTTTTATAATGTTTGTCTGTCTATATCTTTGTACCAGCTAATTTCTGGAATGGCTGACCCGATTTTGCAAAACTTTCATAGATAGCTGATGTACTAAGGAGTAACATAGGCTACTTATATTTAGGAAATTTGAAATAAATAAAGTTGTCCCAAAATTCATATCCTACGCCGACAAAGTCACGGGCAACAGTCACTACCTTATAAAAACAGACAACCAGTTGTCCGTAACTCGTAACTTAATAAGTTTTGGGTGCTTTCCAGCAGATTTAACAGTAAAGCTTGGTTAAGCATTTCATGAACTGTTTCTAATATTATTTCTTTCTCAGTTACCAGAAATCCACGAATACCTGCAAATTCCTACTTTACTGGATGAAATAAAGACATACTCAGCCTTTGTAGTTGGTTGTTACCCAAATCCATTGTCATTTATGCTGTTGCAACGTTGCTATATGTTCTGTGGTTGCAACAAAATCAATTTAGACGACTCAAGGATGTGCTAGATAACTAAGGGAAGTCGGAACAATGGCTCAACTTCTTCAAACCCCAGCAACAAACCTGATTATAGTAATAATTGCCGGATAAAAAAATTGCCGGTTACCAGGACGCTTGTCAAGTACTAATCATTTTTATATATTTCAGATAATTCAGAAACGAAAATCTGACTTAAAATCAACTAAACATACAGTCAATAATAATAAAGAGTATTCAGTACCAGGTAAGACGATATTAAATAAGAATAACCAATTTTTTTTTCATACAAACTCAGTAAATTAAAACCTAATAAGTTCATACTCACACAACGAAACACAACACAACGCAAGCATTGTTTCACGCCAGTCAAGTCAGCCCATTCTTGCCCAAGCATAGTTAGTTTATTTATTTTTGAGAATGGTAATAAAATAGTGGTGGTCAGTGCCGTAATGTGCACATTTCTGGAACTGGACTGCCTCGTTGGCCGAGTGGTCGCAAGTGCGACTGCTGGGCAAGGGGTCTCGGGTTCGATTCCCGGGTCGGGCAAAGTATTATAGGGTTTTAAAAAAATCTCAGTAGTAGCACGGAGTCTGTATATGTGCCCGGTATATGGCAATAGGCTCACCCCCTATTACATCATAACATAAATAGTGAAAAGTGGGTGTTACTTCTGTGTCCACCTCTGCTTACCTCTTCGGGGATAAAAGGCGTGATGTTATGAAAGATAATAAATAGTAAATGAAATATAAATTTTGGCCTCCAGGTAAATTCAAACCTATATTAGATTTGTTGTTGCATTTATCTGATGAACAATATGCCCTCTCCGATGATGAAATCAGGGCGCATCTGAATACTTTTGTGGCAGCTTCATTCGACACAACTTCATCAGTACTTCAGACCGTGTTGTTAGCGCTTGGATCATATCCTGATGTACAGGAACGAGTTTTTAATGAGTAAGTATTACTGATCATCTTTAAGAAAATTACTCATTATTTTTATTCCCTTGTGTGGTGGGTGCGTTAACAAACATACAATGTCACATCATGACACCCAGACCTTAAACACCAATTGGTGGATTACACAAAGAACCGACTGACCGTGTAGCATTTTCAATGATAAATATTTCATAGAGTGTTTTGTAGTCAATTATTATCATTAAAAATAATTATATATTTGGATTATTATAGATGTAACTGTAACAGGATCATCCTTCATTCAGCTTTCAATATTTTTTAAATGTTCCAGGATCCAAGATATTTTTGAAAATAGAGAAGAGGTGATTAAACATGACCTGGCAAAACTCGTTTACTTGGAAGCAGTGATAAAGGAGGTATTGAGGGTTTATAATGTAGTTCCTATGATAGCGCGGAAACTTGACAAAGATATTGTACTCCGTAAGTATTGTTATTCAGTACTTCCTATTTTTTCGAGCGTCGGTTCTCCGTGCTATATGCCCTGCCCACTGCAACTTGCTAATTTGCTAGGCCATGTCGGCGATATCTGTTTGTTTGCGGATTTCCTCGTTTTGTATCCAATTTCGCAAAGAGAGCCCGAGCATAGCCCTTTCCATAGCGCGCCGAGCGACCTTGTGCTTCTTTATAAGGCCCACAGTGAGAGAGCATGTTTCAGTTCCATAGTTCATCACTGATAAAACGCATTCATTACAGATTTTCGTCCTAAGGCACTGAGGTATGTTGGACAAGAAGAGGTTGCGTAATTTCCCGAATGCTGCCCATCCAAGTTGGATTCGACGATTGACTTCTTTCTCGAAATTGGACTTACCTAGATGGATTACTTGTCCCAGGTATATATATTCGTCAACAATTTTGAGTGTAGAGCTCCCAACTGATATCGGGTAGGGTGTAACATGGGCGTTCGACATGACTTTCGTCTTGTCCATGTTAGGTAGTTTGGAGCCCTACTTGTTGAGAAACTCTACAGGGGTCATCTAGCATTGTGCTCAGATCCTCCAGAAATTCTGCCATGGCCACAATGTCGTCAGCAAATTGGAGGTGTGTGATGTACTCGCCATTGATGTTGATGCCAGATCCTTTCCATTCCAAAAGTTTGAAGGCGTCTTCCAATATATCGGTAATCAGTTTTGAAGATAAGACGTCTCCTTGCCTTACACCTCGCACTCGGACCGACATAGTGGCATTTGTGTACAAGCACTTCAAACCCCCGATGTACCGATACTCAATATGGCAACGCTGGAGAGATCTTAACACTGCCCTCGTCTCGATCGAATCAAAGGCTTTCTCATAGTCCACAAACACTAAGCATATTGGTGAAGTTGTACTCCTCGGTCCTCTGTATAACTGTACGCAGCGCATGGATGTAGTCTATGGTGCTACAGCCTTTCTAGAAACCGGCTTGTTCGAGAGACTGGAAGTCATCGAACCTACGTGTGAGACGTTTCGTAATGTCCCTCGAAAACAGCTTGTAGACATGGCTCAGAAGTTAGATGGGTTCGTAAATTTTAAGCGGAAAGTTATCTTCCTTCTTGAAGAACAGCATCACCACACATCTCGTCCATGCCGCTGACGTTACTCCTTCGAATATGACGGAGTTGAAGAGCTTCTGAAGGACACACAGTACGCCGGTACTGTGGGTGGAATTCCGATTCCACCGACTTTCAGAAGCTCTGATGTGATTCCGTCCTCGCCCGGCGCCTTGTTGTTCTTAAGCCGCTTAAGTGCCATTCTAATCTCGTATACCCGAGATATCCTCGGTATAGTGTCAGGTAAGCTTAGCTCTTGGATCTGTGACTGAGCTAACAGGTTTAATGATCGATGCGTAAAGTTGACCATACAACGTCTCGATCTTCCCCAAAACTTCGGCTTTCGTCGACGCCACACTACCATCCTCCTTCTTCAGCTTTGTCAGCTGGTTTTGCCCAATAGACATGTTCCTAGCGAACAATTTGGAGCCTTGGTTCCGCTCTATCGCTTCTTTAACCCTATTGATGTTAAAGTTGCGGATGTCGTGTCGCAGGGACTTGCATATCTGTCTATTGAGCTGCCGATGTGCTCTATCATCGGCAGAGGTCTGGAGCACCATAGCGCGTCGTTCTGCCATAAGTCTGAGGGTACGATCGGTCAGCTTCTGCGGTTTGTCTTTTCGGCGGGGTCTAAAAAACTTCAATCCGACCGCATGGACAGTTTCTACGAATCTGTTGCTAATCTCGTCCACTGACTCGCAATTCTTCAGGATCTCAAAACGATTTGATAGCTCGATCTGAAAACTCTCAGGGCAACCGATATGTGCTTTTGGAGGTCGGAGCGTGGACTTCATCAGACGGGATCTTTCCGACTTTACATTGATATTCAATATGCCTCTGACCAGTCGGTGATCGCTGCCTGATTTTTACCTTACGGATCACAGAGACATCATTGAATATTTGTCGCTCTGTGGTCATGATGAAGTCAATCTCATTTTTCGAGGAACTATTCGGGCTCATACAGAATTTATTGGAATGACAACAATTATAAAATTAGCGGACTTGAGGCCCAGACATCTCCTTCACTTTGTTAGCTGTAACGTCACAATGGACAAGTGCGTCATCTTTCTTTCATTTCGTAGTTGACTACTTACAGAAGTGTTATATTATGTAATGTGATTGTTATTCTACCTCTATAATTTCAGCAAAATATACTCTACGAGCTGGAAGCTCCTGTATCCTGTCGATATACGGCCTTCACCGTCACTCCTCGTGGGGCCCAGATGCGAAGGAGTTCAAACCGGAGCGATGGTTGAATCCCGAAACTTTACCTACTAATCCCAACGTATACTCCCCGTTTGGTATTGGCAAGCGAATTTGCATTGGTATGTCTATTGTCCAATTTTCCATTACAATCGCTTTTGACATATACATACATTTTAAAATAAAATCAGTTAATGAAACTATTATTGACTGTTATTATTAGTTGGGTTATTATTATTATTATTAGTTCTTTAGTTAGGACTACCTCATTGGCCAAGTGGTCGTAAGTGCGACTGCCAAGCAAGGGGTGTCGGGTTCCATTCCCGGGTCGGGTAAAGTATTATTAGGTTTTAAAAAAATCTCAGTCGTAGCACGAAGTCTGGAATTGTGCCCGATATATAGCAATAGCCTCACCCACTATTACATGGTACTCATAACATAAATGGTGTAAAATGGTTGTTACATTGTACAGTGCCGTAATGTGTAACTCTACCTACTCCCTCGGGGATAACTAGGCGTGATGTTATACTAATTTAAATTATTCAATTGGCCTAACCTCATACTTTTGATTTTTGTTTACAGGAAGACAGTACGCCATGATGTCCATGAAGACGTCGCTTATCCATATCGTACGAAATTTCCACATTTCTGGTGATATCAGTTCATTGAAGTGGAATTTTGAAGTCGTACTAAAAGCAAAAAATCCTCTTATTACTTTGACGTTAAGGTCTTAAATTAATAAATGGCTATTTTTACTGCGCATGTGTTTGTTTTATTGCCATATCAAAACCCAAATGTGTTTACCAAGTTGATAGGGAAACATACAAGAAATGTATCAGTAAAGTTTATAGAAAATTATCGATAGTATTGAAAGATATAATTTTAATGATAAGTTTTAAATCGTCAATCTGCCTTGAGCTAACGTGATGCTTAATCTTTAAATCTTCTCCATATATAGAACAGAATCATGCGTTACTTTGCAGAAATTCATGCTACACTAACAACTTAAGTATATTATCAGAGCCTGTCTCGAATGCAGCTATTTTACTTTTTAGTATATAAGGTCCTTAAGTCGAAATAGCGTTTAATTCATGTATTAGTTTATGATGGGGCTAGCGTGGTCGTATTATGACCAAAAGCCCCTAAATGTATAGCATATATAAGCAGATATTATATATAAGCAGATATTAAAAAAAAAACACTAACAACTGGGGCAATATTTAGTTTTTATTACGCTGAAATTTGCAGCATGCAGTCTGCAGCACTGTCCTCTCGCAGATAAATGCTCATGCAGCAAAGATGCCACACAAAACACATACACGACACGCAACAAACCACGCTTTGTTGCTTGTTTGAATCATTTAGGGTTTGATTATTGATTGAATAATAACGATTGATTGAATAATAACGTAAATAATTATATTATTTAAGTATTTAGAACACTTTCTGTTGGACATTTTTTTCTGTTTATAATTTTTCTGTTTGTAATTGAGCTTTAGACGTTCGTTTATATTTTTAAGAATATTTCATAATTTCTGAAAACTAGTTACAGGCAAGGGTGTCAAAGATTTGCTGAAATGAGCCTACATAACATTCTCCAATATGATGAAGTTTTTCGCTTGTTCTGTTTTAGTCCAAACTATACTTTGGACCAAGCACTTAAATATCTTCACTGACAAATAGATTGACGGACAATTCATTGATACAAAAGTGCCTTGATTGATTCAAAATCTATACATATAAACAAAAATGATTTGCCGTTCGTTAGTGTCGCTAAAGCTCGAGATCGACTGATCCTTTTTGGCTAAGTTTGGTCTTGAAATGTTTGTGGAAGTCCAAGGAAAGTGCGAAAAAAGGCGTTACAAAGTTTCCGGATAGGTAGTTGAGGACATAATTAAATATTTCGATTTCAACTTACGTGCGAACAGGTAGCGGCGGACAACTAAATCTACAAGGATTTCGCTTTTTTCTTTAGATGCAGAACTCTAAAAATGCAGTATTTTTTTAATCTAAAATTTCATTTGAGGAATGTAAGTAGTCATTCAGCCTACTAATATAAATATGAGATGTTTATTAATTTCAGCGCAGTTCGTAATTGTTGTGTTCCACAATGACTGTGTTGGTGCTAGCTATGATATTTAGTGTAGTGTTTGCAATATGGTGGTACTGGTGGAGACCTTGTCCTCGATCACCTCGCACGTATCCTGGTGCATTGCCCATCATTGGGCACATTGTTGAGGCAATAAAATATCGCAATGGTAATATACTTTCCTGTAATAATCATTTTTGAGATATAATGGAAAATTTGATTTTAAGCATTGAATTATCCATTGAATTTTATACACAAATAAATTTTACCAATTTCAAAATTGGAGAATACTCACTATTCACTCATAATAAGGTTGACCTCCAAGGCCAGGATAATTAATTCCGACCTGCCCGATTTAAAAATCTTTACAGATCAACGTTCAGTTGTCGTGTGTGTGCAACGTGTATAGACGTCTAAGGCCTACTCGGACAACAAGGACTACTCGAGCAGTTACCCAGTGATTCACATACACAGAGCGCTCTTTGAGTTGGAGTCAAGAGCTTGAAGCTTTTTTATTCCATTTTATTTACGGGGCTTTTAACCAGTGGTCTATGACAGCGCGAAGCGAGGGGGACTGGGATGCCGTCTCCTCCTTTTGCGAAGCAGTCATCCTAGCTAAGGAGGAGGCGGTACGCGTGAGGCAGCGAAGCGCTGCCTCCTCGCAACCCAGCCATCGCGAAGGACACACCGGGCGTTGGGGATTGCGAGACGATCTCCGGCCACCGTAAGCGCGGGCCTGCGGACGGCGAGCATGGGTGGCTCCCGACCAGAAACAGACCCGAGCGTACGGCGCGTCGCGTTCCACGTGCGCCTCAAAAAGCCATTAGACCACCACAGATGGGGCCCAAAAGGGGCGATGCCGACCATGATGTTGACGATGGAAAAATCATGAATGTTCTAGATTTAAACCACAAACTTTTAAGGATACGCCTTGTGATTGGTTGATGGTCATGGCAAATGCAAGACGTATCGGAAATTGAAGTCTTTTAAATTCAAACGGCATATCGGTTGGGATCATCGGGATCCATTAAGGCGGAACAAAGTTCTTCGGGTCAGCTAGTTATTATTTTTACTTCTGGGACCCTGGTATATTATACAGATGTACTGTAGAAAGCTCTTTATGACTTCTGCGATCCTGGTATATTATGCAGTTGTACTGTAGAAAGTTCTTTATGACTTTTGAGATCCTGGTATATTTTTTGGTAGTATTTTCACACATCGGGTTACATGACCGCGCGTCTGGAAAAAGTTGTTGTAGTGACATAACTACAATAGTTGGACATATGCTACCCTGAAGTTTTTTGTAGACATTATGATGTTCTTCAATATTGTTGTACATTATTTTGTTCTATCGCTAATAGTTTGGGCGGCGCATTCGACGAAAGACATTTTAAGACTCATTTTTCTACACCTTCGGTTACATTGTTCAAATTTTACCAAGGATCCCTATTTTTTTTCAAAATGAAATGTAGTCTATGTCAAGTTGGAAGAATGTAGCATTCTATTGGTGAAGGAATTTTCTAAATCGTAGCAGTACTTTTTGAGCCTATTCATTACAAACATACAAACGTACAAAAATAGGTACAAATGTTTTCTCTTTATAATACCTCTATAAGTGTAGATAACAAAAATAAATTCACGTAACTGCGAAGTATGTGGCAATTAGGTGATAGCTTGAAGCTGCCATTGATATTTAATTGAGACGTTAGCTTAACTGCTCGTATGACAAATATTATAATGACAATAAGGGGGTGATAAGCTCGCTCAAAAACAGTTTTATGAAGTGGTGTGGTAAATAGATTTTTAGTCACACATTTGTTTATAAACATATTATTATCGTTATTGAATTTGATCTGTAAGGTATTACATAGATACATTAGAAGAAGGAAAATAATGCAAAGAAACCTCGCGAAAATTTCTATTTTAAAATTTTCAACGTTTCAGAAAGACTTTGCATTATCATAATTATATATTGCATATTAAAAAATACCTACTTTCGATACATTCAGTTCAAGGCAACCAAGAAATTAATGCCCATAAAATTTCACCCAATAAAATTAAAATGCACTAAGTGTGCCTCGCATAATATTAAAATATAATTTAATTAATTGCTTACGTGACTTAATTTTAGACATATGGAGTTACATGGAACATGTTGCTGATGATATAACAGATGAGTGTGTTCAGTTAAAGATGGGTCCCCATATCATTTATGGTAAGAAAAACCCTAGTATGTAATATGCCATAACAGAGTAACATTAGGCAAAAATTATGAAAATAAAAAGAAATATCCTACTAATATTTAAAATTAAAAAGTTTGTATGCTTGCTTGTTTGTTTGTTTGTTTGTTACTCCTTCACGTCAAAACGGCTGAAGAGATCGAGATATAATTTGGAACAGGGGTACATTATGGTCTAGAATAACATTTAGGCTACTTTTTATCAGACGAAAACGTGAGCTAGCGAGAAACTAGCACATATATAATTTCATTTCTACTACGCATCGGGTGTAGCTTGCAAATTGCTTTCGAGCGAGAGAGAAAGCGCATTCGTCAAATCTGGATGCTGATGACCTTAGATATGGTTATTATCATCATCAACAGCCTATAAGTGCCCATTGCTGAGCGAAGCCTCTTCTCACACGGAGAAGGTTTGAGCATAATCAACATGCTAGCTCAATGCAAGTTGGCAATTACAAACGAATAGTTACAAATTATAAGCCTAGGTTCCCTCACATTGTCCACTGACAAAGGGCGAAGGAAAACATAGACATCATCATGACATCCTAAGATTATCTAGACACAGTGGTGTCTATATAACTTTAGAGAGTACATATAACTCGGAAAACGTCACATTGGTACTTGTTGTTGGTAGGTTTCGATCCCGCACCCTGATGCATGAGAAGCGGGCGTCTTAAACCTTCGGACCACCACAATTAAAATTTTCATTGGATTTTTTTCAGTTGTAAGTGACCCAAGTGAAATCAGTGTTATAGCAAACACATGTTTGAAGAAATCATTCTTTTACAAGTTCTTGGTTGACCTATTAGGAAATGGACTTCTGATAGCAGATGGTACGGCAATGCCGATTAAGGTTTTTTTGTAATTTATCTCACTCTAAAAAATTTTTGATAGTATTCAACTTATTTCAGTGCCCACATGGAAAATACATCGTAAGCTTCTGAATCCTGCATTCAACCAGAAAGTACTGAACACATTTGTAAATGTTATGAATGTAGAAGCACGAATTTTAGTCACACAATTGAAACCTGTAGCGGGACAGGGACCAGTTGATGTCAAACAATTTATAATTAAATATGTTTTAAGATCGGTTTGCAGTAAGTATACGAACTTGACTTGTTCCTAAGGCACAATTATTGAAGTGGCTATTAACGTAACTGTTAATAGAAATGTCTTCAGCAAAAATCTTCCACATGACACACATTTCGAGTAATCATCAGTAATCTTATACTATTATATAAAGCGGAAGACTTTGGTTTTTTTTGTTTGTTTGTTTGAACGCGCTAATATCCGTAACTACAAGTCTCATTTGAATAATTATTTTTGTTTTGGATAGCGCATTTATCGAGGATGGCTATATATAAAACATCACGTGACGATCAATAGGAGCTGAACAGAGCATATGAAACCGCGCGGAAGTAGCTAGTTATCATAATAACATTCAACAATTCTAAAAGTGTAAACTTCAAAATATAAGGAGTTCCTCAAGGCTAACCATTGTCGCCCATCCTGTTGTATATAGTATAGGGCGAGTACATAATAATCACACCAGTGCACAGTGGAGATGTTAAATTAACGTTTGCTGGAATCTACTTACAGCTCACTTTTAACTGAAAATATGCCAACCTTCATTTTAACATTAGTTTATTATTCTTATTAATTAATACTAAGCTAATTATTATTGGTTTTTTTTTAATTCTCAGTAGTACTACGGAGCCTGGAATAGTGCCCGGTATATGGCAATAGGCTCACCTACTTTTACATGGGAATAATAACATAAGTAGTGAAATGTAGATGTTACATTACAGGGATAAAAAACGTGATGCTATGTTATGTTATGTATTTTGCCAATGATGGTGTGGTGTAACAATTTATAATTCCAGGAACATCTTTGGGATTGGAAGCTGATGATCAACACATGATTGACAAGGAATACGCGCAAGCAATCGAAGAAACCATAGCAATAGTAATAAAACGAGGTTTAAACGTGGCATTACATCCTCCATTTATTTACAACATAACTGCAATGAGAAAAAGAGAACAGGCATTGATCACGAAGATAAAAAACATTTTAAATATCGTAAGCATGAAAGAAATATTACTGTGCAATCCCATAATACGTCATCCGTTTTTTTTCTAAGCGGGGAAAATCATCGAATGACTGCTCCCGCTTGGGTGAGGCGGGAGGGAGTGTCAGACTCTTATTGACTAAAAACCACCCCGTTCCTTCTCCTGTACGTCGAGCCGGAGCACCGGTTACCCGTTAGGGTCTCCGCGACTCAATACGTCATTCGTAGGAAGCACCGAATTAAATGGCTTCCTTCATGTTCCTCATGTATTTTAGTAATATTTGTACGTTTCAGATAATCCAAAAACGAAAATCTGATTTGAAATCCACCAATAATAAATATATGACAGACTTCAATGATGAGTCAGTGAATGGTGAGTATAGAGACGATGGCAATACAACTTTTACAAACGTATAAAGGATACAAGTGTATGCTAACGAGATTTTTTTTTAATTTTCTCAGGTAAATCTTAACCTTATAATTAATTACGTTCTGGTTTCCAGGTAAATTCAAACCTATACTAGATCTGATGCTGCATTTATCTGATGAACAACAAGTTTTATCTGATGATGATATTAGACAACATATTGATACTTTTGTATTTGCTTCTTACGACACAACTTCAGCAATGTTACAGACCACATTACTAGTGCTAGGATCACATCTAGATGTACAGGAACGAGTTTATAAAGAGTACGTAATTTTTGGCCAAACATTAATCGAATTGCAATAATAAAAGTTTTGTGCATCGTCTTTCAAGAGTAAGTGAGAAAAGTATTAAAAAAGATTGATGAAAATTGACCTGCTTTGCAGTTGGTTTTCATTTTAGATAAATTAACTAAAATTTAGTTGTTATAGAGGTATTTTTTTTTTTAAGGGGGGAAAATCATCGAATGACTGCTCCCGCCTGGGTGAGGCGGAAGGGAGTGTCAGACTCTTACTGACTAAAAACCACCCCGTTCCTTCTCCTGCACGTCGAGCCGGAGCCCCGGTTACCCGTTAGGTTCTCCGCGACTCCGAATCGGCATCGGTCCTATTGGGCCCCATCTGTGGTGGTCTGATGGCTCTTTGAGGCGCGCGCGGAACGCGACGCGTCGTACGCTCGGGTCTGTTTCTGGTCGGACGGGGAGCCACCCATGCTCGTCGTCCGCAGGCCCGCGCTTACGGTGGCCGGAGATCGTCTCGCGATCCCCGACGCTCGGTGTGTCCTTCAGCGAAGCGCTGCCTCACGCGTCCCACCTCCTCCTTAGCTAGCATGACTGCTTCGCAAAAGGAGGAGACGGCATCCCAATCCCCCTCGCTCCGCATCATGGCCCGCACTAGGCCCGGAAGCGAGAGGTCGCCATCGCCGATCACTTCCCTGAGGGCACGGCGGTGCTCAGCCCACGCAGGGCATTCTCCCACTGTGTGTTCCACCGTGTCCTCAGGGCGGTCCTCGCAGTGATGACACCCGGGCGTTTCCTCCCGCTCCGTCAGACACAGGTACCTCCCGAAACTTCCATGTCCGGTGAGGACCTGCGTCAGGCGGTAGGTGAGGACGCCGTAGCGTCTCTCAAGCCACTCCTCAAAGAGGGGACTTACCGCTGCAATGGCAGTTATAGACGTATAGTCAGTAAAAGACAAACGCTCCATTTCAAACTTTAAACCGCAACCTATTGTTCTATAATTGTGTCTATAATGACGGTACTCGACGAGTTAAGACAATAACTTAACTAATTTTCGTATTACAGGATTAAAGAAATTTTGGGAAAGAATGAGGAATTGACTAAATACGACTTACCAAAATTGGTTTACTTAGAAGCTGTGATAAAAGAGGTTTTGAGGCTATATTCTATAGCTCCATGGGTTTCGAGACAACTTGATACTGATGTTGTTTTCCGTATGTATCTAATCTGCTTTTTATATTACCAATTCTTTCCAATCTATTGTAAAATTAAGATGGAGTCATTCACAGTAAATTTGGTATTTCAGCAAAATATACTTTAAGAGCTGGAAGTACATGTATTCTGGTATTATACAATCTTCACCGTCACCCCTCGTGGGGACCAGATGCGAAGCAGTTCAAACCGGAGCGATGGCTGAATCCCGATACATTACCTACTAACCCCAACGTATACGTTCCGTTCGGAATTGGCAAACGAAACTGCATCGGTATGGTCACATAATTGAAGACATGTATTTTGTATGAACTTTATAATTATTTTACGTATCTCTCTTATTGTTACAGGGAAACAGTACGCTATGATGACCCTAAAGACGTCGGTAGCGCATATCGTACGAAATTTCCAATTATTTGCAGACATTAGTCATTTGAACTGGAAATATGAAGTTGTATTAAAACCAACAAAACCTCTCGTTAGTTTTACGTTAAGATCGTAAATTAAAAGTGAAGGATTCGTAACCAAGTGTTTTTATTGTATCCCCTAACTTATAAGTTACAGATTTTTTTAAATTAACAATAATGAACTTAATTCTTACATTACTTTTTATCTTGGACCAGATGACAAACTTTTTTCAAAATGGGTCATCATGCCCTTTTTTGTATTTGATGGGCCAAGATTTCCACTCCTTAACAGTACGCACAAGGAGGCTTGATGCGAAACGGTTCGTGCATGTGGGTTCACCGTACCTTTATCGCTGATGGAGTAGGCAGAGGTACATCAAAGCATTTAATGTCACCATACAATGTAACACTTACTTTTCATTTATGTTATGAGTTCCATGTAATAGGGGGTGAGTCTATTGCCTAACCAAAGAAGTATGTCATATTCGTAATTCGCTAATTACACACAAGGTGATATTACATGACGCTTCTTGTGATATCACCTTGTTTCATAAATTACATACGTATGTATGTATAAGTAGTAATAAACATATTTGAGATTGAGGTTCGTTACCAGAGAATAAAAAAAAACATTTATAATCATGCAGTTACAAAATTATCTTATTTTGCGTCAAAGTTGCAAAATTATAACTTTTGTTTTCTTTCTTTCTGAATGCAGAACCCTAAATATGCAGTTCTTTTTCTTTAATCTAAAATTGCTTTTGTGAAAACTTATAAATATGAGATGTCTATTAATTTCAGCGCAGTTCGTAATTGTTGTGTTCCACAATGACTGTGTTGGTGCTAACTATGATATTTAGTGTAGTGTTTGCAATATGGTGGTACTGGTGGAGACCTTGTCCTCGATCACCTCGCACGTATCCTGGTGCATTGCCCATCATTGGGCACATTGTTGAGGCAATAAAATATCGTAATGGTAATAATAGTGATTAGTTTACACGGCCAGCTCCTGAGACATCTAACCATTGATTTCTCCATGATTTAGTATGTATTATCTCTCGACAAATTGCGGAGGAACAGCCACAAGATGGATATATTTATCTATGATTTAAGGTTGGGTCACTCCCAACTGGCTGATCTGGAAATATTTAAGAAGGATCCTTTAACACGTTAAACGCCATGGGAGTCACCGGTAACCGGCGTTAGCAGAGGATTTACCTTCAACAGTCTTTTATTGGCAGTCAAAGGCTTTTTTCGCAACGTAACTAAGAATCCATTAAATATTAAATTTTATCCAATTATAATTCTGAAATGCAAAAACTTTGACTCATAAATATTTTTCAAATAATTGAAATAATTATTGTTGATTAATCGAAAAAGTATGCAAGAATCGGAACAGTTGGCATTCCATGCGTCATGGGGCAGAGACTATAGAATGCCTACTAGTCATAATCTCACGCCTGTCTCTCATGAGAGATTATGACTATGTAAGTATGTATGGAATAATTTCAGATATATGGAGCTATATGGAACGTATTGCTGATTATATGACAGACGAGTGTGTGCAACTTCGGATGGGTTCCCATAAAATCTATGGTAATTAAAAATCTTAACTTATCATAAATAAATTTTACAAGGTTAATTTAATTTTTGTGCACCAAAATAGTTATCATTTTTAGTACCTACTAATTTCTCTATAGTTAAATAACTTCATTTTAACTGCATTTCGTATCTGCAGCTTGTAATTGGTTCTCGAGTGATTTACGATTGCCGAGTCGCGTATATTGGCATATAGAATCAGATGCATTTTCAAGTTTCTTAATTAAAAATCACTTTTTAACATGGTATGTTTTATTTATTTATGTACTTGTTACAGTTGTAAGCGACCCCGATGAAGTTGGTGTTATAGCAAACACGTGTTTGAATAAATCATTTCTTTACAAGTTTCTAATCGATGTATTAGGAAATGGATTACTATTATCAGACGGTAATTATGGTCGTATCGAATCATCATTATGTTTTTTATACAAATTCGTAGTTTCTTGAATATTACCCGTGAATGCGAAACATTGAACACACGCAATCAAACGCTACGTTGCACCTTCGTCGATGATGAGAGAGGCGAAAAGACATAATTATTTTAGACACATCTCACCTTAAAACATGTTTGACATTTATACCGATTATTTCAGTACCCACATGGAAATTACATCGTAAGCTACTGAATCCAGCATTCAACCAGAAAGTATTGAACACATTTGTAAATGTTATGAATGTAGAAGCACGAATTTTAGTCTCACAATTGAAACCTGTAGCGGGACAAGGACCAGCTAATGTCAAGGAATTTCTAATTAAATATATTTTAAGATCGGTTTGCAGTGAGTATACGGTGTGACTTGATGTTAAAGCATAATCTTGTAAGCTCTTATTTCCGCCAATGATTGTTAAAAAAACGAATTCAAATGACTTTTCCTCATTATTGTTGCTAGCGAATAATTCGTAATATACATCATGGCAATAATTAATAATTATCATAATAGGCAACAGTTTTAGAAGCTTAAACTTCAAAAGATAAGGAGTACCCCAAGGATGCACACTGTCACCTACCCTGTTTCGCAAGAAAAGCGAATACATTATAAACGTACCAGCAAAACTGTGATAACAGCGTTATTTAATTTAATTAAATATATATATATCAACTTTTGATTAATTGTTGATAAGATTAAGAAATGTATTCTTAATGCAAGCGAGACCTAAAACTCACTTTTTAACTAGAGACATGTGTTTTTAGTTAAAAAGCGAGTTCATATTTGTCATTTTTGTCATGCTGATGTCAGCATCAGCCTTTATTTAAACGTAAATAATTTGTAATACCATGATAAGGATTATTTTATGTAGCAATTTATAATTCTAGGAACATCATTGGGATTAGAAGCTAAAGATCAAGATATGATTGGTAAGGAATACGCACAAGCAATAGACGAAATCATAACAATAGCAGTAAAACGAGGTCTAAACGTAGCATTACATCCTTCATTTGTTTACAACATAACTTCGATGAGAAAAAGAGAACAGGAACTGGTGACGAGGATAAAGAACATTTTAAATAGCGTAAGCATATGTACTTTTCATTGCTATCAAATATCATAAAATATTATTCGATTGCGTTGTGGTTGTGGTTATTGGAGACTGAATCAAGTCTTGCGATTTGCGGATTGGATTTGGGCAACGGGTGCCCAAATCCAATCCGCATCCCCATCCCCATCCCCTAAAGGGTTGGCGACGCTTGTAACTCTTCTGGTGTTGCAGGTGTACTTTCTAAAAGAGAGCCGCAAAAACATGTTTTTTTCCATGTCTTTTATGTATCTTATTAATTAAGTACATTTCAGATAATCCAGAAACGTAAATCTGATTTAAAAATTACCAATTCAACAAATTACGATGATGGCTCAGTTAATGGTAAGTTGATTACGTCAAACTTCCCTAATTTAATTTATACACTTATTAAGACAACTGATTTTTTTTTATTTCTCAAGAACTAATACATAATAATATTTATTTTGGTCTCCAGGTAAATTCAAACCTATCTTAGATCTGTTGCTGCATTTATCTGATGAACAATATGTCCTCTCAGATGATGAAATCAGGGCGCATCTGAATACTTTCGTAGCAGCTTCTTTCGACACAACTTCATCAACACTTCAGACTGTGTTGTTGGTGCTTGGATCATATCCTGATGTTCAGGAACGAGTATATAGAGAGTAAGTTTTGTGGGTTGTCTTTGTTGAGTAAGAAATATAAAGATAAATAAAAATACGTGCTGAGTTCATGTCTCTCAAAATAGTACAAATCAGGTATCAAATATAAGATTGTAAGTCTACAGTCTATCGAAGTTTCTTTTTGTATGGCGTCTCACGGATGACTTGCAAAGAGGGCATGACTGCTTAAATCCAGCACTACCCTACATCAACAGCCTGATCTCGTCCACTGCTGGACATGGACCTCTCCAATGATACGCCATTGAGCTCGATCTACCAGCTCCAGCCACTTTGCGGATATCGTCACTCCACCTAACTAGAGGGTGCCTAGACGCGGTCTCCACTCCAAAACACCTCTATCCCAACTGTCATCGGTTCTTCGAGAAATGTGAACGGCCCACTGCCATTTGAGCTTGCTAATCCTTTCGGCTACGTTGGTAACTGTAGTTCTCTGTTGGATCACGTGACAGATCCTATACTTCAGAGAGTTCTTCTGTGACGTCCTAATTTACTATGTCATTGAAGTTATCGGCATTATCCATTTTATTTTATTATTACAGAATAAACGAAGTATTCGGAAATAAACAAGAATTGACTAAATATGACTTACCAAAATTGGTTTACTTAGAAGCAGTGATAAAAGAGGTTTTGAGGATATATTCTATAGCTCCTTGGGTATCAAGACATATTGACACTGATATCGTTTTCCGTATGTATTAGCTGCTGATATTAGTATTGTCATCGTTTTTGCACTCTATTCTAAGATTGAATTATCATCAAAGTCTCTTGGTATTTCAGCAAAATATACATTAAGAGCTGGGAGTACATGTATTCTGGTATTGTACTACCTTCACCGCCACTCCTCGTGGGGACCAGATTCCAAACAGTTCAAACCGGAGCGATGGTTGAATCCTGACACTTTACCTACTAACCCTAACGTATATGCTCCCTTTGGCATTGGGAAACGAAACTGCATCGGTAGGTGTAGGTAGCCAGAAGACAATGTTTTGATTATACTTTGTAAATTTTACTTTCTTTATTTTTCTCATTGTATTTTTTTTTTTTTTTAAATCTTACATTTCTTATTCTCCACGGACTCTTGTCCGTGCCCTTGTCATTCTATTTGAAACGTATGTATTTGTATTTGTTCTTATATCTTTTATTTTTGTTCTCATTGTATTTGAAACGTATGTGGACTTACTATTTATATTACGTATTTCTCGTATTTTTACAGGAAAGCAGTACGCTATGATGACCCTAAAGACATCGGTTGCGCATATCGTTCGAAATTTCAAATTATCTGCAGATATTAGTCAATTGTACTGGAAATATGAAGTTATATTAAAACCAATTAACCCAACTCTCGTTAGTTTTACGTTAAGATCTGAATTTAAAATCTTTATGTACAAATAAAATATCTATAACTACGTGTCTTTTTATTGTATACCTCAATGTACCTTTTTCTTGTTATTGAATTTCTCTGAAAAGCAAACAAAAATGAACGTCTACTTACACTACACTATCGTGAACAATTGACATTTTTTTTAAATTTTATTTGAGAAAACTCCCATTGAAAAAATATAAAGGTTAGTAGTATTCATACAATTACTAAAGCAGAATTGTTATTTTCTCTCTTTACACCTAGGATTTTCTCCTGTGTCGTGGATGCGTTTACAAACATACAAGTTCACATACATAGGACACCCAAACCCGAAAAAATAATCTGTGGATCACACAAAGAGTTGAACAGTGCGGGAATCGGACCCACGATACGTTGTGCGGCAGCCAGTTGCCCAGCCACCGCGCCAATCGTGTCGACAAAACTTGTAACCAAAAGAAAAATTTCATTTTTATGAATGTCATTACCAAATCGCCAAACAATTCACGTACGAATACAAACTCACCTTGGGCTTAAATAGAAAAAAACATTTTCTTCAGCATAAATTATAGAAAAGTATGTCATTATAGAAAAAAATATTAATAGTTTGCTAATAAATTAAACTTTGCATCTTGACTCCTTGATAGGGGGCAATACTGAGAGGCTACTGTTTGAGGCTGGTATCTACATTTTTTTTTGTAGAGATTGGAGATTGGGCCTCCATTAACCTCACTCACATGCGTTGTGTCGTAAAACTTATGGAGCTATGGAGCTTATGATATTGGTTTGCACCAAAAACTGAATGTTGTATTATAGGTACATGCTTTTTTGCCTGCCCTTTCGGGCCTTCAAAAAGTTATTGTTATGATTGGGATGCCTGTTTCAATTTGAATACATTGCTATCGTACGGTACGGTTCGTCGAAGTTCTTCATGCACATTATTGCTATTTTTTTTTCGAGCTGCAAAAATATATTTATTTAGTTTATACTTCTACATTTCCCCAATAGATGGTGTTACGAGTTGACGATATAACACTGAAGAAGAGCAGAACTCTTAATATTCAAGTATTAGTACGATATCATAGTTGGGAAGAACACTGACACATAGGGATGCAAAACACCTATATTTAAGTAATAAAACATCAATGTTTACCATCGATGTTCACTATTTCCAACCATCAATGTATTGATGTTTTAACGATGTTTTTACATCGAAATTCTGAGGTTCTAAAACAGATGGCTGTATCAGTGACACAGTAAGCTTGGTGTGACGGCCAGGAGTCCCATTCTAGATTGCAAATTATTTTTAACTTCTTCATGTCGAAATATTTAAACGATACTCAATTTTAAATCGCGCTAAAGTATCAATAGTTCTGTTACCACAAATTCTTTGTAAAATGACAGAGATGGCACGATATTCAAGTACAAATTAAAATAGAGTAACCTTTCAGCATTCAGGCGTCAGTTTTTAGACTCATACTATATCTTCTACAACATCAACTACAAAAGTAAAATATAATATATTGAATGACACGAAACGCTAGAACGACATTTGCTAACAATATAAGAGCAGGCGCTCGTAGACTTTTATTATATCGTGGGACTCATAACAAGACCACTGAAATATGATAACAATATAACATCACGCTTTTTATCTCCGAAGGGATAGGTAGAGCTCATTACGGCAATTAGTGCCACTGTACAATGTATCTAACACCCACTTTTCCACTATTTTCGTTACGAGTCACACCTATGCAATAGGAGGGTGAGTCTATTGTCAAATACCGGGCACAATTTCAGACTCCGTGCTACAATTGAGATTTTTTTATAACTCAGTTATACTTTGCCTTACCCGGTAATTGAACCCGAGACCCCTTACTCGGCAGTCGTACTTGCGACCATATGGCGAACGAAGTAGTCCTAACTGACTGCCGGGCAAGGGCCAGACACCACTTGGCCAACGACGCAGTCCTCGTAGGCCGAGGGCCAGTCCTAAATTTTTCCTAAATTTTTATTTTTTTTGGATATTGGTAGGTTGCATCTAACTAAACGTTTTTTAAACTTGCTTTTTTTGTTTTTATATATTTGTTTTGTTTTGTGCATTTTATTTTGTGTTTTTGGGGAAAATTGTTTTATGTTTATCGTTGTTTGATTGGTGACTTGTTCGTCTGCGTGTCACTTAAGGGGCCAGTAGAATACCAGTGGAAGGCCCTGTCTTGCACATGCTGAACTGGTCCCATTTCACCGCTTTCTTTTTCTTTCTAAATAAATAAATTAAAGAACTTTTTTTTATTCCTTTTTAATTTTAGGGACATTAAACTGTCAAACACCAAGCGGTCACCGGTGATCGCAACCTATTGTTCTATAATTGTGTCTACAAAACCGGTACTCGACGAGTTAATACCGCACAAGGTAATAACGAAAAAGGAGAAAATACACAGCAACATTAATGTAAACAATTTTAATATGTACATAAATTAAGATCTTATAGTAAACTCGATAAGAGCTGGTTTTGCTGGTTTCAACACTAGTTCGTATTTCCACTTCATATTACTAATGTCACCAGAAACGTGGAGCTTCCTCACGATATGTGCAAGCGACGTCTTTAGACTCATCATAGCGTATTGTTTCCCTGGAAAAATGTCAGAAATAAATCGATTAATACTTGAACAAACTGTTTTATACTGTATTCTGTATAATTGTATACTGTAATCGTATGATACATGATTACTTAAGGTCGCTGGCTGTAGATCCTTTCAAGCGGATGTAGGGGAAGCCTAAATTCAGTTGATTAGTATGGAGCAAACCTTCTATAAAGTTTACTTTAAAAAAAATCTTCTATAACGTTTAAAAAACCGACTTCCACCCCTTCTTATTTGAAGTCGGTTATTTAATACACATAGGTACTAAAACATTCCCCTAATTATAAAAAACAGTGTCTTAGTTGTTTATATTGTTAGTGTCATTAACGTATCTTATAGAAGGTCCATAGGAAGAAATTCCAGTGGGAATATGTGGGGCCTATGTACTCTGTTTTTATATATTATTATATTATATTGTCCTCTGTGTTGAATGTGTATACATAAATAAATAAATAAATATGTCGGAACGGTCATTAGTACGGGATTTCGATTTACTACAAAACGAAGGAATAACAACAAAATGAATAAAGATGGCGCGCTTCAAGAGTTAATAGTGACGTCATGTCCGCCTAAGAGTGGGGGAGATTGAGTGATTTTCAACATCGCACAACAGCAGGCACTCTTGGCTGGAACTCCGAACGAACAACGACGCACTAAGAATACTGTCGGTGGAATGATGATTGCAATCATTAGAATCAGTGCTGTGAAATTGTCATTGACATTATATTGTTTAAGATTATAACGATGAATATTATTACAATGTAAGTGGACTAAACTTTGATGTATTTTGACCATTTGTAAACTTTGAAAGGGACTGAGACCTCTGAGTTTGTTTCGGCGTTTCTTCTCAGAATAGTCCGTAGGAAATGCCGACTTAATTAAAATGCGAATATTTAAAGGTGCACTGTCGAAAGTAAACGTTACTTTATTTACGAAGATTTAATTGTTTTATTACTGCAGAAACATACCTCTACCGATATATATGACGAAGAGGGTTCTCGCTTGACATCGCCCACACCATCCTCCGACATATAAAAATTCGATTTTGAGATTGATCCATGATAGCACAAGTTTAAACCTTAGTGGATTTTGGTTGCTATTTTACATGGATAATCCTGTACTTATTGTAATTTATACGATAAATAAAAAAAGTTATTACTATTTTTCTTGTCGAAGGACTGCAGGAAGACATTCCTACGGGAATATGTAGTACCTTTGTACCTCTAATTTATTTATATAATTATGTATTCTCTTGTGTGTTGTATATTATTGTATTGTCTGTTGTACATAAATATCCTTTTAATACTACCTATTATAAATGCGAAAGTTTGTGAGGATGTATGTGTGTGTGTGTTTGTTACTGGTTCACGCAAAAACTACTGATTGGCTTTAGATGAAACTTCACAGTAATGTAGATCATACATCAGAATAACATACAGGCTACAATTTGTAATGACTTTATGTTATTTTGGACGTAATATAACACAAAATGTTAGCCAAATCTGGTCTCTGAGACCTATATCGGCGTACGCTGCCTAAACCATACAGAGTTACACTAAGATAATGTACAGTAAGATTGTTTGTCTTGATTAGTTCTAAATAAAAGTCCGCGACGGCATATTTCTACCTTTTATGTGGAAGTCACTGCCGATATTTAAGAATATTAATTACGATTTATCTGAAAACGGATAACTGACAGGTAGCATTACTATGGTAACCAACCTGATGATTTAAAATTGTTATGGCGTCCTACTTCCATAGTAAATTTTGGCATCAACAGACAAAAATGAAGTTCTGTGGGTTTTCAAGGATTAATATCAGTATTCAGCTGCATCAGGGATCAGGGATTTTAAAGACACAATACGAATTTAATTGACTGAATACAATTTATTCATAGACTAACCTCCGCCCGCGGTTTCGCTCGCCTTCTTTTAATGGGGTGAGGGAAGGATTTGCAATAAAAAATGAAATGATGCACGATCTTATGCTGGTCACAAATAACCCGCATCCCAATTTTTAGCTTTCCAGGAACGTGGTTTCAGGGACGTGGAAGGAGGTTAGAAAAAGTAGCCTATGATACCCTCCATCCTTTCAACTATCTCCAATCAAAAACCTTACTGACTCCGTTCTGTCGTGAAGTACAGACAAACAAACAAACAGGCCAAATTTGTAATATTAGTATACATTTCCTAGGTCATCTGACATTTGTGTGACAAGTGAGTTTACAAAGTCAATGTGTTATAGTTTTTTTAAGCTATGATATTAAGGTATGCAAAGAGGTTGACAACAGTGTAAGGAGATAAAACCACGAATAAAATATTTTCAGCTAACTTGAATTCGTATTTTTTTATATATCAAAAATTGCTCAGTTCTGAATTTCTTTTTTTAAAACGTTACCCCACACTAGGATTTTCTCCTGTGTCGTGGGTGCGTTTACAAATATACAGGTTCACTCATTACATCCAGACCCGGAACAACAATTTGTGGATCACACAAAGAGTTGTTCCATGCGGGAATCGAACCCGCGACACGTTCCGCGGCAGTCAGTTGCCCAACCACCGCGCCAACCGTGCAGACAATGTATTAGTCCTTTTTATTTTAGACCGTCAAGGCCAAATTTACTATGATAGTTTGCTGTTTTTTTATGGCATAGCCCTGTAAACGAGCAGACGGATCACCTGGATAGTAAGCAATCCGCCCATGGACACCTGAAACACCAGAGGTGCTAGAAGTGCGTTACCGGTCTTTTGGGAATTGGTAATTTGAGGATTGTCAGGGATTGGGGAGGCTGAAGAGGGGGGGGGGGCGTGCAATTGAGCCTCCGGTAACCTCACACGGTAAAACACAACACGGTTCTCCTTAAGGTAACCGAGGGCTGTCCCCTAAGTCCCCTCTTTAAAAAATGGCTTGAGAGACGCTACGGCGTCCTCACCTCCCGCCAGATGCAGGTGTTTATCGGATACGGGAGTGTCGGTAGGTGTCAGTTTCGGATTGGGCGGGAGAAAACGCCCGGGTGTCATCACTGCGAGGACCACCCGGAGAACACGGTGGAGCATACAGTGGCGGTGTACCTTGCGTGGGCTGAGCACCGCCGTGTTCTCAGGGATGTAGTCGGCGACGGTGACCTCTCGCGTTCGGCTCTGGTTTAGGCCATGGAGCAAGGGCCAAATATAACCTAGGTACTGAATCGATCGTTATGATATTTGTTCCAGTTGTACAGCCGTAGAATATACCTTGACAAAGACTAATTTAAAAACCCAATTTATACCGAAGTCGCTATATCACGCCGACGAAGTCGCGGGTAACAGCTAGTAATAAATAAATAAACAATTTTATGGAAACCACATCAAAGCCAGTACCATCCACACATACATTCACACTTTAAAAAAAATTGAGTACACTCTTCTTTTTTTGAAGTTGGTTAATAAAAAAGCCATTGGTTGGCGTTACTTATTGACATGACTGTCATGTACAATTTACATAAATCATCTTATAGAGGTATATACAAAAATGAATCCCTTTTACCCTTGGACACGGCATCACGCGTGATGGCTGGACCGATGTCACTAACTCTTTTTTCTTGTATTTGTTATTATTAGAAGAAGATTTTTAAGATAAATATTCCAGAAAATCCTACGGGAACAGGAGAAATCTGGATTGCGCGTACGAAGTCGCGGGCAGAAGTTAGTCATAAATAAAAATTACTTACCAATGCAGTTTCTCTTGCCAATACTGAACGGAACGTATACGTTGGGGTTAGTAGGTAAAGTATCAGGATTCAGCCACCTCTCCGGTTTGAACTCCTTCACATCTGGTCCCCACGAGGAGTGATGGTGAAGGCCATATATCGACAGGATACATGTACTTCCAGCTCGTAAGGTGTAATTTGCTAAAATTATAGAAAAAGGAGATATTATCATGGTATCAAGAAAAATATATTTATATTTATTTTATGAAACAGAAATAAAACATGCACTTTAAGTGTGGGAGAGCCATGCTTCGGCACGAATGTTCCGGCTCGACAGGAGTGGTACCCTCTTCTTGGGAATTTGAGGATTGGAGAGACTGGGAAGAAAGAGTAATTGGGCCTCCGGTAACCTCACTCACACGATGAAACACGGCTTTACAGAATACCGAAGTGAAACACAGCTTACGTTGTGTTTCGTCGTGTGAGTGAGGTTACCGGACTCCCAAGTACCCCTTCTCCCTTCCCCAATCTCCCCAATCCCTGAATCCCCCACAAAATACTCAAATTCTATTTCTTTATTTTTTCTTTTTTTATTTTTTTTTCTAATTAAATTAAAAATTTATTCTAATTAAAGAAACGTATCATTTTTTGATTTACTTTTTTTTATTAAGGCATTGGCTGCCAATAAAAAACTATTGAAGGCAAATCCACCGCTAATGTCGGTCACCAGTGACTGCCATGGCGTTTAACGTGTTAAGAATCCTATTGATAATGTTATTATTTGGGAAAATAACAAAAGGAAGAGTAAATAAGGATAAGGATACATACGCAGTACAATATCGGTGTCCAGTTTTCTTGAAACTATAGGAACTGTACTGTATACCCTCAATACCTCCTTTATTACCGCTTCCAAGTAAACGAGTTTTGATAAATCAAGCATAGATAAATCTTCACTATTTTGAAATACTTCTTGGACCCTGTGATGTAGAGAAAATGTTTCAAAATTTATTTTGTATGCTAGTTGTTGCCAGCGATATATAGAGGTGAATATAAAATTCAGGTACACAGTCAAACACCATGCTTCGGCACGAATTTGCTTGGTCGACCGGAGTGTTACCACGGCTTCAAAGAAAACCGACGTGAAACAAGGTTTGATTGATGTTTCGTCGTGTGAGTGAGGTTACCGGAAGTACAATTACTCCCCTCCCCCTTCTCAAACATTTAATCATCAACAATCCTCAAATTCCTAATCTCCCAAAGGTCTCTGGTGTTCTGGGTATCCTAGGCGACGCCGATTGCTTACCATCTGGTGATCTGTCTGCTCGTTTACCGGGTTGTCGCATAAAATACAGGTACTAACATATAACAATAGTAGGATTTTTGTAATTAGACTGCCTCGTTGGCCAGCACCTCTGCCTACCCCTTCGGGGATAAAAAGCGTGATGTCATGTTATGTTAGGATAGAAGTACGGAGTTTACTAAAATATAAATAAACCTGTTATGACGTAATCGGTTACTCAAAACTTACTCGTTATAAACTCGTTCCTGTACTTCAGGATATGTTCCAAGCACTAACAATATAGTTTGTAGTACCGTTGATGTTGTATCGTAAGAGGCTATTACAATAGTATCCAGATGTTCTTTGATCTCATCATCAGTAAAGGCGTGTTCTCCATCAGCTAAATGCAGTAGAAGATCTAGGACTGGTTTAAATCTACCTGAAAAAATTAGCTAATTATTATCTCTGTTTTTATAATAGTTTATACAATAGGGTCTCATAACATAAATACTAAAAAGTGGGTTAGATTGTAGCCTTAAGTGCTGTATTGTGCACCCCTACCTACCCCCGAGGGATAAAAGGCGTGATGTTATGTTTATGTTATGTTATAATAGTAGAAATAGGTATGCTGCGCGATATTCCCGCGACCGCGCACGCTGCTCATGAGGAAGAAGCCCTCTGTGGTTCGAAACTATTGGAGATTTTTTCATTATATTCCCGTGACTAACCCGCGATTTTTAGTTAACTTATTATCTTTATTAACAGGAAGACCTAAAGTCTAATAATAATGAAGTTACATTTAACGAGAATGAGAGTAAATTTATTATGGCTTTTATAAAACTAGTTTCTGCCGGCGGCTATTCCCATGTTTCCTGAGATAAAAAGTAGCGTATGTGTTATTCCACACCATAATCAACTCCAGTTCCAAGTTTTGTCCAGATCCTTCGGCGGGTCGGGACGATGCGACACTGAGCAGTTGTAATATACTAGATATTAAGGACGACGCCAAACAGCCGTCCCGCTCGACGCGACGGTAACGGACGGCTCTGTGTGGCGTCGTCGTGTGCAGAGACCTTAAGTCTGGTAACGTGGTAACCCATTATACACATAAATTACTGGCATTTTGGTGTTTCAATAATGTCTAAGTAACATTTAGCCCGCCTTTTTTTGAACGTCTTTGCACCCAGCCTTGAAGGAATTCACACAAAAAAACTTAGTCCTAAGGAATAAGTGTTGAGATGGGAAATGATACCATGTATGTGCCAGATTATTGGGAATTTTTTTCTAGGTTCCAGAATATATGTTTTGATAAATGGATAAGCCACTTCAATGAAATTTCTAAAGATAAAGGTATCTGGTATAAAGTCATACAAAATGTACCCCCTCGTGGACCTTGGTTTGATGATAAAAACTTACCCAGGAATTATGTTAAGTTAGCATTAAGACTTCGCTCTGGCCACTATCCATCGGCAAAGTTTGCCTTCTTAATGAGGAAAGTTTCATCGCCTAACTGTGAGATATGTCATAAAATTGAAGATGTGTAGCATTTACTGATGGAATGTGAAAGGAACAAGAATGAGAGGGAATCCTTGACTAGAGAATTTAAACTAAACCTGTGGGATGTTGGACTTATGCAAAATATTTTAGCTCACCCTAAATCAAACATGTCTAAATGCATTATTTCTACCCTAATAAAGAGTTCTAGGCAATAATTCCCCTTCGTATAGGCAAAAGCATAGTTAAGTACGAAAAGTGTTAATAATAGGTGTTTAATAATTTTATGAAAATAGTGTATAAGTTACAATAGGGTTGACATATCCACGTGGATAAAAACCCCTTACCAAATATAAGAGAATAAAAAAAAGGAATAAGTGAGGAAAAGAAATATGTATTACTCTTGTTTTTTATAAACTTGTCTTACCCGTTATTGAATCAACGCCATTATTTGTAACAAAGTTGTTAGCCTTTAAATCAAACCTCCGTTTTTGGATAACCTAAAACAAAGTAACATATTATCATGTAGTAGCAAACTATTGTGTTTGCTGCATAATAATTTTACGGAATTAATTATTATGTTCTTCAAGCCATCGTAGAGACTCATATTCACGGCTTGAAACTAGTCAAGAATAGAAAGTTTCAATATAAATTCTACGGAAATAAATATTTTTGCAATTTATAAGAATTTCCTAGCGCTAAATAATTTTAATATGTGCGGTCAAAGGTCAAAAAGCCACTGACACCGTAAGATTGCTGTCGGTTGCGCTGCAGCGTTTATACACGCATGCACACGCATATTTTTATCCGTGTGCGTACGCGAACATGTTTTTATGCGTACGCACGCGTTTTTAATCACATTAATATGAAATTACTTACGCATTGCCTTGTGAACATCACTCACGGTGGCAGTGGACTTTTGACCTTTGACTGTGCATTACGGTTTCACACATTTTAACATTAAGAAAATAGGGACTAGGTTATATACTCTCTTCTTAAAACTAAATGTGATAGGAGTAGATACGTACAGTATTTATCATGTTCTTAAGATCTCTTATTAAGTCGTCTTCTTTCTTTTTCCAAGCAGTTCTTTTATATATAAACGGTGGATATAACCAAGGATGAATGCCACGATAGCAGAATATTTTCAAAATTTCTTGGATAGCATTTGCATAATTGTTGTCGATAATATTTTGATCTTTAGCTTCTAGTCCTAATGATGTTCCTGCAAAAAAATTGTAACCATGAAAATAACGATTCACCAGAACCAAAGCATTATAATCATATTCATAAGTACATAGTTTATTTTTCGTCTAATCGGAATCGGGCCTTCGGTAACCTCACTCACACAACGCCAGCGTTGTTTCACGTCGGTTTTCTGTAAGGCCTCGGTATCACTCTGGTCGAGCCGGCCCATGCGTGCCGAAACGTGGCTCACCCACACATGAAATATTAAAGGTACCTACGACAGACGATCCTTAAGACATATTTAATCACAAATTGGTGAATATCAACTGATCCACTTTGAGCCACTGCAGTTAATTGTGAGACGAGATTTCGAGCTTGTACGTTCATTTCGTTTATAAATGTGTTTAAAACTTGCTGATTGAAGGCTGGATGTAATAGCTTACGATGTGTTTTCCATGTAGTCGCTGAAATTAATAAATATTAAATGAGTGTCGTTGTGTAATATCGTGGTGACCCGAAGGTTAAGATGCTTCTCATGCGTGAAGGTACTTGTTCGGAACCGGCCAATAGAAAGTACCATTCCAAGTTATATGTACTTTCTAAGAAATTTTAGACACCATTGACAAACGGTGAAGGAAAACATAATCAGAAAACCAAAACGAATATATTTGTATTTGCAAAAGGCTCATCGGATTACATTATCTCTTAGGGCAATTTCTATAATCCGAGAAGTGGAGACGTAGTGCTGACGTACATAATAAACATTTTATGTTTTCATGCGATAGCTAAGTCGATCTACTTATTTAAAACGTAAAAGATTTTCAATACTGGCAGATGAAACTGCCTCGAATTTTGCAGGAAGCGGGGCGCTACGCCGCTGTGTTTTCGAGAACCGGTCTATTTCATTGTACGCATAAGACCCCGCGTAAATTACTTACCATCTGACGTTAATAATCCTTTTTGTACAAAATCCCTTCCAATTTCATAAAAAAATCCTTTCTCCAAACACATGCTAGCTACGACACCTGTGTCGTTTGGATCACTTACAACTGCAACGAAATTAAAATGACAAATACAAGATAGCAAAATATCCCACTATATCTCTTACGAAAAATTCACACAATTTGTTCATACAAAAGTAGGGTGTAGTGGAGTGAGTGGAGAGTCAGAAATTAATAAGAATAATAGAACAATAAGGAAAATATAACTTTTTGTTAAGTACCAAGAATTAATAATGAATTAATTAATTACCATATATAATATGAGAACCGACGTTAAGACGAATTAATCCACCGTTTTCCAAAGAGTAATCACAAACTCGTTTGATGAAGGTCCATATATCTGAAACATGCAATTTAGTTGTGTCACTTAAACGTCATTTACGAAGTCTTTTTCATATTTTTTTTAATTAACTTTCGAAGTCTTTGAAGGGTATGCTCGCAGTATCTCTGAAGTTTAGGATCCGTAACGAGGTAATCTGACAGAGAACTAAAGTTACCGATGTAGCCCAAAGGATTAGCAAGCTGAAATGGCAGTGGACCGGTCACATTTGTCGAAGAACCGATGACCGCTGGGGTAGACGTGTTGTAGAGTGGAGACCGCGTCTAGGCAAACGTAGTGTAGGGCGCCCTTCAGCTAGGTGGAGTGACGATATACGTAAAGTGGCTGGTATTGGTTGGATGGGTACAGCTAAAGACCGAGCTCAGTGGCGTGCCATTGGAGAAGCTTATGTCCAGAAAACAAGCTGTTGATGAACTATTGAAGTTAACATTGAATCTGTCATCTCTCCTCCAGTGGGCTACCAATAAAGATAATGCATTCGTAGTCACATCCGAACTGTTTTAATTATATGTATGTGTCAATAAAATAATGTATTAGCATTTTTTGTAGGAACCGAACGTGAAATATTTTACACAGCAGTTGAACTATAACCAGTAAAAAACATCTGCCTACCTAGTACCTAAAGTATGAAACCAGATAGACATATTAAGAGAAGATAAGAAGAAATATAGTAAGGCATCTATAAAGTCAAAACTAAAAAGAAATATATTGGAGTTAATAAGTAAGGTTGATTTTTTTTTGCAATTTTTTATATTTTACTAGCTGTTGCCCGCGACTTAATAGTGATTCACAGCTCCTCCCCCGTAGGCGATAGCGTGATAATATGTGACCTACATAATATATGTTGACTCGCCTGTTAGTAATATTCATGCAAATTTTGTAGTAAATCCATGCAGTACTTTTTGAATTTAGCCCGGAGATACATACAGAAAAACAGACAAAAAATTATTAAAAGACGATTAAATGACGATTGATCAGTTTTTGACCGAAGAGGAAAAATGATTTAATTACTAAAATGGCTATTAAAAATAAGGGTTGGTCGTAGAAGGGTGAAAATTGAGGATTGAATGTATTTTTGTATGTATGTTGTATCATAAAAAATAGAAATTAGAAATTTTGTCTAAATAACAAATAAAATAATTTAGGGGTGGATTACCCTTAACATTTAGAGGTATCAAAAATAGATGTTGGCCGATTATCATAGATACCGGATAAGCACAAAAAATTTCATCAAAATCGGTCAAACCGTTTCGGAGGTGTATGGCAACGAAAATATATATATATAGATATATATATACACATATATATATATATATATCGTATAGTAAGGATATATATACATATCGATAATATATATATATATATATCCTTACTATTATAAATGGTAAAGTGAGTTTGTTTGTTTGTTTGTTTGTTCCACTTTCACGCCGTTACTTCTAAACCGATTGCTTTGAATTTTTGCAGGCGTAAAGTTAGAAGTCCGGAATAAATAATAGGGTACTTATTATCCCGGAAAATTTTGATATTCCCGAGGGAAAACAAAAGAATTGGTATAGATGGCGCTGTGTGTATAGGTATATGTCACATAGGCTACTTTTGCCCTTTTGTGACGCGAGCGAAGCCGGGGGTAAAAGCTAGTTTTATATATTAGGTTTATTACTTAGATGTCCTATGAAAAAGAGTATGTTATTGTGTCAGAATTATTTTATTCAATATAATATTAATAATACAGGTTTTATAATAATACTTGCTACTTTATATATCCTGCTTATATCTTAAAAAAATAAAAAGATATGGCAATTGTACCTACCTACATATATTAGAACATAATTGAATTGTCTATTTAATAAGCGACCTTCGCCATTAAACTTTAGTTTTCAATTTTAGATTTATGGCCACTCCTATGTAAAATTTAACAAAATTTTGTTAAAAAAAACCTCGTCATGAAGGTGAAGTCAATGTCAAAGTCCTTCTAATATACATTCTTCTCCTATAGGTGAATGCTACACTCTCAATATTTATTGTAATGATATTTGGATCGTAATTCTGAATCACAATATTTAGCAAGTCTATAGTATAGCGTACTCACAAAACATCACGCCTTTAATCCCCGAGGGTAGGCTGAGGTACTCATTCGGCACTTACTGCCATGTACAATGTAGCACCCACTTTTCACTATATATGTTACTAGCGACCCGCCCCGGCTTTGCACGGGTGCAATATGCATGTATTATACATACAAATCTTCCTTAAGAATCACTCTATCTATTAAAAAAACCGCATCAAAATCCGTTGCGTAGTTTTAAAGATCTAAGCATACATACGGACATACAGCGAAAGCGACTTTGTTTTATACTATGTATTGATGAGTCCCATGTAATAGGGGGTGAGCCTATTGCCATATACCGGGCACATTTCCAGACTCCGTGCTACTACTGAGGTTTTTTTTAAAAAACCCAGTAATACTTTGCCCGACCCGGGAATCGAACCCGATATCCCACTCATTCACACCTCACTGACGCACTTGCGACCACTCGGAGAACAAGGCATTATTAGTATAGCATAATAATAAAAATTATATTATAATTAATTATTACTTGATAAATATTGCGAAACATATCGAGCGTGAAGCTTTCACTATACAGTGGTTACTACACTGATGACGCAATATTAAACAGTTCACCATTCACTGTGTGCATTATAGGTGTCCTTTAGGTCTGGATTGTCGTGATCGAAGATCAACATATCAATATCCTGATATTAATCAAAAACACCAGAATATGCTAGTAACCTATAATAATAGTTTTATAGATTGCTTATCGATAGACGTGCTCCATCGTAGGCCGCATCATCGCTTACTATCAAGCGAAATAGTGGACAAACGTGGACCCATCATAAAGTATATAAAAAAAGGGTTTTAAAAAAATTAAATAAATTACCATTTCGATATCCTAACATTGCAAAGACATGTCCAATGATCGGCAGTTCACCGGGAAACGACGGAGGTGAACGAGGATGACGCTTCCACCAGTACCACAATAATACAGCTGTAACACCAAATAGCACGACTAACATCTTTATATTTTTTTATTTAACACAGACTTACAAAACAATATTAAGGAACTGACTGGAATGTACACAGTAAGCTATTATTTATATCTTTTTCGTATCAAGGACATACATATAGTATACTGGTTTTATAAAAATAAATTTTAAGCATTAATGTATACAAAAGTTTAAGTCTTAATCTATCTGTCTATCTATATACCTCTACATATAATAAATCTGTAGAAAAGTAATTTTTTTACATTGAAGAAATTGACAAAAAAAAAAATAGCCAGCGTGTTAAAAGATAACTAACAGAACCCATTTCCGTCATTTTTTAAATTTTTGTCTGTTTGTTTGTGCGCGCATCAGGTAAAATCTACGAATTTAATGCAGACATTGCTTATATACGAAAATTCTACGTAACTTGAGGTTTAACTTAGTTTTTGTTTAATCGAAATCGGTTCACTCTATCAGAAGATATGATTAATTTAGTGAGTCCAAGAAGTAAAATATTACAACACGCCATTCGGTATAGTACTCGAAACGACACCTTTGGAAAATTGTTTTCGTTTGGTCATTGGTTTGAAATCCGAAGTAAAGATATATACTACATGATATTTTAAACAAGTAGAATAGGTATTTTGAAATCTGGCCTTTACGGTCGCCTTTAAGTTTAAAATGTCGTCGTACGAACGACCTTTATGTAACCTATGTATTTGAACGAAACCTACCAAAATCAGTCCAATATTTGTATATTAACAGTAACACACGTAATAGTAGTAGTAGTGTGTTACTTTTTCAAATCACTGTATCAATACATACATAGTATAAAACAAAGTCGCTTTCGCTGTATGTCCGTATGTATGCTTAGATCTTTAAAACTACGCAACGGATTTTGATGCGGTTTTTTTTAATAGATATAGTGATTCTTAAGGAAGGTTTGTATGTATAATACATGCATATTGCACCCGTGCGAAGCCGGGGCGGGTCGCTAGTGTACAATAATTAAGTAGTTTTTTTTTGTTGTTTTTTTTATATAATTTTTTTTCTATTTTTATTTTTTGTTTTGGTGCAGAAATAGTAGTTGCTACAAACTTCGACTATCAAGTTGCGATCTCCGTTCAGTAATAACATTTTTATAAC